TCCAATGCATTTGGTGAATCAACGTCTTCCATTGATGAAGGGTCAATGTTTGACTTGATTGGGTCGGAGGAGAGCTTTTATGAATTGACCTATTTGGAATATTTGGGTCAAAGTCCACTAAAAGTCAAAAGTCTTTTATCTCAATTGCATGGTGGTGGGATACCATATCTCAACTGTTTTCGATAATATTCACCACTCATCTGGAAACATGATAACTATAATTATTATTTTATTTATAGAAAAATATATAATGCAAATTTATATATAAATAAATTTATACTATATTATAAAATATTTGGATTAAACGTTTTTAATGTATTAAATAGTGTTTATTTAATAATACATGTTACCTTAAATTCAAGATTACAAGTAAGTGATGTATTAATATAACTTTTAATCTCACCACATCCCATGAATTTTGCTTCTCATAGAAATTGATCCGGTGTATCTCGATGTATCGTATTAGTGTTGATTTTCAATTAAGATTGATCAAGGGGTAAAAATCTCTTCTCACCAAAACTTTTATTCTCATCAGAATCCAATCCCATATATATTAGTGTAATTTTCCACACTCTTTTTTTCTTGGATGATGCATTACATGATGGGTGAATGAGACTACTTCGTTGGGAGTAATTAAAGGGGCACCTACGTTGACAAGTCGTATGGTGCTGATCCCAAATGTTTGTTTACTTACATCTTGTTATAAAATTGTAAATTAATTATTTTATACTTTTTAAACGTAACCAATAATGATCGATCTTCGCCATTTAATTTATAATTTATGATTTAAGGGGTCACTTATTAAATTCTTACTGGGTAAATGTTTATCTGTTACTTACACTATCAGGTGAGCATGATAAAGATCGAGAATCTTACTTGTTAAAAAACATAGCAAAAAACAAGAATCTTACTTGATGGGTGAGAGAGAAGACTATTACTCAGTAAATGTTTACGGGGTAAAAAATGTTTATCAACAATCCAGTTTGATAACCGAAAATTTTACCCTATAAGATAAGTGGAGGTGGTGACTTTTGGCAATAAACACTTACTCAGTAAGCGATTGATAAATATAACTCTCGTTTGATGTATTTTTAGGGACCGTTTACCAAATGTTTACTCGGGTAAGCGCTTACCAAGTCATGTTACCTCACCGGATAAATATGGTAAGGACCAAAAATCTTATCCGGAAGTAGCGAGAGAAAAAGAGTAGAGATCGTGAAGGAATAATCACAAGCAATCATAGTTGATGTAAATTTATTTACCCTTTTGTGTCAGCATCAAGCAGGGAATCCCTTATACTGCCAAATATGTGAGTAGAAACATATCGATCAAACAAAATAAGTGATAAAGCAAAAATAAAAAGACTTCACGATCAATGAAACAGCAGTATCTACCTTATAAACACCAATACATTTTGGATAATCGAATTCATCTGAATTTGGTTTCCTCATTCACTCAGGATGAAACCGTAAACCTAGTATAAACCTACCCTCATGCTTAAGATTGTAGGGAGTCACAGTGGTTGATGATGGAGGTGGTCGGTAGAAGAGTCTCAACAGGGTAAGAAAAATACTGACAATCGATTTTTGTCTGTTGATGTTTGTATATTAGTGGATAATGTTTAAAACAAAACAAAAGACTAAAAGACTAAAATAACCTTTAGTTAACCTAGTTTTTTTACTGCAATTAGCTAGAGGGACAAAAAAATAAAACAAAATGTCAACCACAGTGACCGAAAGTGTATTAGTTCAAAACAAGGACTAAACTTGTTAATGAGTGGTAACCAAATGACCAACATAGTTTGTTACATCAGCTCCAAAAGGATAAGTTGCCCTGGAATCGAGCATATAAGAATCAAATATATGAGTTATGGGATTATGAACAGGAGGTCTGTCGCTTTTGACCACTCGGCCACTCTCCCCTTCCTGCATATTTCGAATACGGAGGAGTGAAAGTTCCCAACAGTCAATGACTCTTGCCTGACCCGCCCGTTTGACTTATTGGCATTATCGACTTTGTGGACTCGTACAAGGATACCGAGTAGACGGTTGATGTATCAAACTCGACCCATCATGCATGGGTTCGAATCCCATTTCTTCCGGTCTTTTCCTCCATAAATGTAGTTTACTCTAGAAATATTAATTTATCTTTGACAAAACCAACTATTTGAATTACTTGTATTTATAATTACTTTTGTAATGAAGTCACTATCTTAGACTAGACTTCTTTTGAATTAGTCCCAATCTTCTTATATATGCAAAATGGAAAATTCCATTCTTACCCTCATAAAAGGAAAATTAGAATGTACTATTAATGGTAAAAAAAAAAGTATTTCAAAATATCAAAATAATGTTTAGAGTAAATTACAAATTTGATCCATGTGGTTTGTTAAAAAGAATGATTTCCGTTCCTACGGTTATAAAATTACAAGATAACCATCATAGTTTGTAAAAACATCATGATTTGGTCCCTTCTTCTAACGGTCGTTAAAAGATTTTGTTCAATAAGAGACGTTTGCATCATTTTATCGATTGTTTTGTCTTTTTTACATGATGAAAATCGATTTTATGATTTTGGTTCGTGTGGTTTTTGATTGGATAAAAGACAAAAAGTGAGTAAAAGGACGAAAATACACCTCATTTAACGGATTTTTAACGACTATTAGATGGAATAAATAGATATGGATGCTTTTTTTCAAACAACCATGGTCATCTGTAACTTTGAAACACTATAAGGACGAAAAGTGTTAATTTTGAGAAACCATAAGGACCAAACTGTAGTTTATTTTAATGTTTATCTATGATCAAATTCATCAACAACAATATGCAAGTTACTAACTCTATAAAGAACCAAACAAAAAACCATCAACTTTTTTTTGTGTATTTTTGATGGTTACCAATTTGGTCCCATAGAACTCGAGTTTTATTCAAGTAATGTTTTATAAAAAGATAATGTTATAGGATAAATAGGTAATTTCACAAAAATAATATTATGTTTGAACTTTTTTTTAATTAACATGAATATCCAACTCACTATACCGATTATTCCAATATGACCACCTGCTTTGCGGGTAGTCCGAAGTCACCGCATTTGAACTTTCGTGACCACAAAGTGATTTTTATTTCTTTTTGGATTTGAACCTGAGATCTCCAGACACTTTTGATCTTTGATACCTAAACTCAAACCAATCAGGTACCACCTTTGTGATTATATCCGAACTTTTGAAAAAATTATGAATCACACTTTCAAACAATAAGATAGTTAAAATCATGATACTTATTTTGAAACAAACTAAAATAGAAATATGAATACTTAATTTGGAACAGAAGGAGTATTAAGAAACTCTTCCACTTTCTGTTTTTGGTATACAAAGAATTGAAAACAATATTATCACAACTTAGAGTCTCCTTACCCAAATGCTAATCCGGCAAGAGGTAACATTCTTACTTACCTGATCAGGTAAGATTTTAGTTCAATAAAACAACATCGTATGCAACAATACTTGATAAAACCTTTACCAGGTAGAAGTTGTCACCCTTACTTATCGAGTAAGAATTTCGGTCCTTGTTCATTTCTATATTCATCCGATAAGGTAAGTGACCGGTAACACTTCTATAGACATATGTATACCGTCTAGATGAAATGGGTACCAGGGTGTTTCTCAGTTTTTTATTTTCTTTGTGTTTTTTCTTTTCTTAAGAGCATCTCCAATAACTATGCTATATTTTCTTTAAAATAGATTTTAAAAGTCAAGATCTCTAAATACAATTACATTCAACTCCGACCTCTACTATATTTTACTCATTCTAATATTAATTATATTATTAAAATATTCAATATCTAATAAAATATTATTTCTCTCTCCTAAAGATTTATTTTCAATGTTTCTTATTGATAGAAGTATTAAAATAATAAATTTTCTCTTAAACTTTTTACATTTTTTTTTTTTCATATTTGGAGCAAAAGAATTACTAAAATTCTTATTTCTCTATCTTTAACATAATTGCTAAAGATAGTTTTCTCTATTTTTAACAGTTAATTTATTTTCTCTATTTTTAACATAACCGCTAAAGATGGTGTAATTTGATTCATTTAATCTATATTATAATAAATACAACTTATTAAACTTTCATTTTTGAATTTATGTAACTAACTGCAGATAAACATCATATTTTAAATATAAAAAAATCTAAAAGATCTAAAATATAATTAAGATAATCATTGAAATCTAATCGAATACTTAATTATTATATTTATAAAAAACTATATTATTAAACCAAAAATAAATTGATTCATTATTAGACATAAATTGAATTATAATAGAAAAATTGAATCAAAGAAATTACACAAAAAACTAGAACTTTTAAATAGTTAATTTAATAGTAATATGGATATTTTTTTTTTCAAACATAAAAACAGTATCATATTTTCAAAACCATATAAATCTGTATTATATCAATAAACAAAGAATAAAATAAAATAATAAAATCAAAATGTATCTGACTGTATTGTACGAATACTCTTCTAATTTATTATCTTGTTATTGTAATATGTGAGAGTCTATAATTCATAATCCATTTGGTTTTTTATAACCAAGAATGCGGAATAAAATGTTCTTCGCTAACAAATAAAAATCCCTTTTGTAGTTTCTCTATACTCTCTCTCTAAAAAAATTCAAGAAACCCTGGGATCTTCCGAATTAGATCCAACTAAATAATGACCGTCAGATGACATGAACGAAATCCTCTCTCTTGATTACACGTGCCATCCCCTTCCCCCCCCTCTTATTAGTACTTTGCTTCCATGCATGGAATTCTCCTCCGACTACAACTCATATATAGAGAGAGAAAGAGACAGATGAAACAGTCATGGAGTCTGTTTTCAATTCTCCATCTCTTGATTGGCTACTTCTTAGCTACAACCACCTTTCATTGCTCCAATCTTTGATTATTTCTTCTGTATTTTTTGGGCTTTCATTAATTTCTACCAAATTTGAACATTACGATACCACTCTGTTTGTGTTTTCATGTGTTCGAAACAAGATTTGTTAAGATATGGAATGCTTTCTTTCTCTTTCTCTTTGCCTTTGATCTTCAACTTCCGAAACCTGTTTCCCCCAATTTGAAATTGAAAAGGGTGTGATCTTTTTCCCTCAAACAATGATCTGTTTTGAAAGCTTCAAATCCCTGAATTTGATGAGCTTTTTTGGACTACTTTTGATCTCACTTAAATAATCTTTTCTTTTCCACCATTTGTGGGGTTGTGTTTTGGGGATTTGAGCCCTCGAGTTTCTAAACCTAAAGATGTTGGTTCACAGATTCAGCAAATGTAGTAGCTTAATTGATTAAACTCGTCTTTCTCTTTGGTGGGTTATGTTTGTTTCTTGTTTTTTTCAATTGGGTGTTTCTTGATTTGCTAATTAGAGAAATTCAAGATGGATGAGGATCATGATGAACTCAGATTTGTGTGCAAGTCTTGTGATAAGAGGTACCCAAGTGGGAAATCATTAGGAGGGCATATGAGGTCTCATGTGATTGCTGCTGCTGCTAATTCGGCTGAATCAGATGACAAATTTGATCCCATTAAGAAGCTTACTACTTTAATCATCAATGGAAATGGGAACGGGAATGGGAATGGGAATGGTAATGGGAATGGAAATGAGAATGGGAATTCTAGTTCTTATGGGTTAAGGGAGAACCCTAAAAAGAGTTGGAGGGCAGTTGGTTCTTCATCTTCAACTTTACCTTTCCCAAATGAGAAAGTTTGCAAGCAATGTGGCAAAGGGTTTCAATCTTTGAAGGCTTTATGTGGTCATATGGCTTTCCATTCTGAGAAAGATAGGGGTTTGAAGGATTATGATCATTCATGGACCAGTGAGAATCTTGATCAAGATGATGATGATAAGCTAATTGGGGACAGTCATTCGGACACCGAAGAGAACGATTTGCAGGATCCTTCATGTGTCACAAGATCCAAGTCAAAGAGGTACAGAAAAGTTGTAGTTAAACCATCTTCTTTCTCTTTGACAAATACTAATACTAGCAATAATAGCAATTATAATTATGGATCTTCATCTGTTTCTGAAATTGATGAGCTTGAACAAGAAGAAGTAGCAATGTGTTTGATGATGTTATCTAAGGATTCCACCAACTGGGCTGGGGTTAATTCGGTTGTGGAATCCTCGGATAACAATTCCGTTGTTTTAGAGACTAAATTGTCTTCAATCGACATGAAAAATGGCATAAAGGAATGGAATTTGGCCAAGAACAAGTCTAGTGTTGTAGACCCTGAGACCGAGAGTTTCCAGTTTGAGAATTCCAATTCCGGGTATTGTAGAAATGGAACCAAGAAAGTGGAATCCGATATTTCAGTTGAGGAGCTTCTTAGGAATGGTGGTGATCAACACAAGAACAGATCCAAAGGGGTCAAGGGTTTCAACTACAGAGACTTGACTTACGAGGAAAAACTTGAGATACGAAGGAATTTGTTTAAGGAATTCGGATATAATGATTCTTTAAAGAAAAGAATCCGGGATGACGATGATTCTTATAATCCAGAAGGAGATGGATCATATAAGAAGAGAAACAAGTATGAATGTTTGAATTGCAACAAGACTTTTAGTTCTTTCCAAGGGCTCGGTGGACACAGACCTTGCCACAAGAAGAACAACGCTTTCGGTTCTGGTGGAAACAGCTCAGAGGGTGAATTCAGTCGTAATCATAAGGCTAAATTTGAGAAGAAAATGAGGCCGAAAAAGAACAAAGGACACAAATGCCCGATTTGTTTTAGGATGTTCAAGTCAGGGCAAGCTTTAGGAGGTCATAAGAGGTCTCATTCCATCAATGGTTCTGAAGAAAGGATCGATCATATGGCAGCGATAGAAAATGAAGGTCCAACGTATACTGATATGATCGATCTTAATCTCCCCGCTCCAGAAGAGGATTAGGTTCGGAAACTGCATAAATTCCGTCGTCGTTTTTGCATGTTTATCAGAGGACATTAGAGAGGTGAGAGTTCTATCTTTCTTCTTACTGTTTAGACTGTTTTAACTTTTGAACATTTTCTCCAATTCACCCGATTCTTGACTTTATGCCCACAAATTTTCTGAGAAAATTTAAGTTAAATTCCCAGTTTTGTTTAAAGCTGTTTCAAGATCTTGGCTGTTGCTAATGCTATTTGTTTCTCCAGTTGATCCATTTCTTGAATCTATTCCTAATTTTCAAGAAAATTTAGAGTTGAATTCCCAGATTTTGTTTTATCTGTTTCAAGATTTCTTTATGCTTTCTTCTTTGTTGCTGCTATGGTTTACTTTTCCCCCAATCATCAAAATCTTGAATTTATGCCTAAATTTCAAGAAAGTTGAATTTGAGTTCCATAGAACTACTGTTGGCTATGGTTTACTTGTTCCTATAGGAATTTGGTGGCATCTGTTTTAGTGGGGGGTGCTATGAGTAATGGGGATTTGCTTTTTGAAAATACACCATGATTCCATGTTTTAATGTACATTTCTGTCTTTATATGGTGGTTTTGTATGGGTGTTAGTGTGTGTGGTAGGCAGCCTAAAGGAAGGACTTTCTTGAAGCTGTTTTGAAGCATAGCAACCAAATGGGTCCCTATAGAATTAACTTTACTTCCACAACTTGAAAAGGGTCGGTTAAAAATTGAAATCTTGATCAGTTTCGTTTGACGATAACTCGCAAATTAAAAGTTTTGCAAATAGGTTATAACTATTCGATCCCTCTAAGACGCAAAAAGATTGCTTAAAGATAATATCAGGGATTTTGAGTTTAAATCATACAATCATGTAGTTTTCAACGAACTACTACTGTCAGTTAACTGCATATAACAAACGTTTCACCCCTTCTAATACGGTATCTGAGCGGTGTATGTTAAACAACGCTAAACCAAAAAAGGGTATCTTTTCAATTGGTCCTTTAGGAAGTGTACTAGTGGTTAAGCATGAAGTACAAGTAGTGATGCAAGAGTGGTCCACAAAGGGGGTCCTTGGACCTTGACTTTTGAACATTTGGCCTTTTCTTGCATTAGAATAGAAGTTTGAGAGTGAATGAGGGTTTAAGAAATGGAAATAAACACATAAATTTATAAACAAAATGATTACTTTTCTAGAATTTTTTACACAAACTTGAATGCACTTTTGATCCTTTTTACTCACCCACCATATCTTATGCCTTTTCTACTCCATTTTCTTGTCTATTCATCTTTTTGCTAAATCCATTTATTATATATTTTTCCATTTTTAAAAAATCTAATATCAGACGATAAGGGGTTGTTCGGTAACGTCTTAATGAGCTGTATAGCAGATATGATTGATTCACACAACCATACTTATATGTTTGGTAAGAGCTTAATTTTCAAAGACCCATAAACTGTTTTATAGCCTTTCTAAATTATCAAAGTCACTTTTCAGTCGTTTTGATTGTAACATTGAATTCATATCATTATGTTAAATCAAGTTGTTTTTATTTTAAAGAACTTTTAAGTTGATCTTTTTTTTATAATAATTTTATAAGTTATTTATTTAACATTTTTATCAAACTGTTGGCTTTTTAGACAAAAAAAAAATAAAGAATTAGGGTAAAATGGTCATTTTTGACATTTAAACTGTTTATTCAGCATAATAACCAAACATACAGATCAATGTTGAAAAGGGCCATATAAAGACCGAAAATTACGATTACTGATCTTCGGTTGAATCTAATGGAAAAAGGGTCTAATCATTCTGATCGTATATGAAATCACATCAAAACAAATTTAATTGGAAAAAAAAACCGTCGGTAAAAAATCCATCCTAATCATGTACAAAAACTATTCAAATTAGGTTAAGTTTAGAGTGATCATCTAAAGAAAAGTTCAGACACGTTCGCGACCATGACACATACAAAAGTGGAATCTTTTTGTTTGCATTTACTTGTTTTTATGTTGAATACTATTAACCAATTTCTCCGACTTTTCAAAAATCATCGGTTCAATTTCTTTAGACTTTGGTGTCAACGTTTTCTTGCACGCTTTTTTGAAAGTCAAAAGTCTTGATGCTCTACTCGTTGGGGGCATATAGGCTTGCGTGATTTCCGTCATTCATACCCTACTTTCAAAGTGAGATATGTTAGGTATGGTTTACGATACAAAGGTGATATGAAATAATTGTTCTAAATAACTTGAAACAATGCATGACTTAGGGCCACAAGTGTGTATGTATATGTTATGTGTATTATATATACATACATATATGGTTTTTATACTAGTATTGAATAAAATTTGTAATTAAAAAGAAAAAGTAAAAGTAAAAGAAAACAACCACCGACAACGAGCTTCTCTAAATTGTTGACATGGTGTTAACAGGACGTGAATGATGGGCCTCGTGACCATCACACTTTTTAGAATACTGGAGATGATATAGACTAGGGGTGAGCAGCGGAACCGGGTAGCCGACTATGGAACCGGAACCGTCTTGGAACTGCCGGTTCCGGAACCGGAACCGATATGAGTGGTTCCGGTTCCGGTTCCTAAAATACTGAACCAATTGTGAATGGTTCCGGTTCCTGTTCCTAAAATACTGAACCAATTGTGAATGGTTCCGGTTCTCAATTTTTCGGAATCGTTACCCGCCGGGTATCCGGTATTTTTCAAGTAAAAAAAAAAAATAATTTTTTAATACCAAATTTATATTAGGTTTACATCTTGAAAGCACGTCGTCATCTTCATTATTCATCTAAATTCTCCATATAAAATGATTCGTATTTTTTCAAATTGTGTATTCACTTGGATTCATAGTATGTAATCGTTAAACTTTGAAAATTTACCATTATAGTATGTAATCGTTAAACTTTGAATATTTTCTATTAATCTATTATAGTTTGTAATCGTTAAACAATATTTGTAACAATTCTTCTGTATAATTTGTATTCTTGCTTATTTATTTAGTGTTTTGGCAATGTTTTGTTTTTTATTTCTAAATAATAAAATTTTAATATTTTAGGAAGCGGGTACCCAAAAATTTAAGAACCGCTCTAACCGGTTCCGGTTCCAATATCTCAAGAACCGCCGGTTCCGGTTCCTGTCAAAAAGGGGGGGTACCCGCCTATGCTCACCCCTAATATAGACCCAAGGACGGACCTTGTATAGTGGTAACAGTGGCACATGCCACTGTATCATTTCTTTGTCGAAGGGTAAAATTTTATAGGTTCGTAAAATGTGTAACCGTATTAATTTGTTGTGTGCCACCGTATGTATTTTGAAACTACAATGAGAACAAGTTTTATTTGGTAAAGTTGGTTTGCAAAACTTTTATTCCACCCCAGACCCAAGTTCGAATCCTGTTAGTGTTATTTTCTTAGTCAAATGGTGCCACCGTTTGAAAAAAAAATTATGGGTTCATCCCTGTATAGACCTAGTTTACTAAAACTTATACGATGTATCATGCATTAATGCTTCCAATAATGTTATAAAATCCGTCTTTATGCTTGAAGATAATATCAGTAGTTTTAGATATACTTTGTTGATGATCATCAGTCTCCAAGTCATTATTGGTATAAGTTTGATCCAGACGTTAACTACCAACTTGCTTGATTATTAAAGCCATGGTTGAGCATGTTATAGGTCGGGATCGTGCCCACCAATCCTATATGAGGTATAGTATAGTTTCGATTTCCTATCTTTGATCCCGATCGGTTTTTTCCATTCAAATGAATAGATCTGGATCCATAAAACCCATCTGAATCAATTGATTTAAACCACAAATGAAAGAACATATGCAAATCGATTTTCACTAGCTATTTTTGTATGAAACAAATAGCGATACATTTGCATGTGTACCATTTAATTCTATGAAATGAATTTATTTATTTATTTTTTAAAGAAAAAACTTAGTTTTCTTGTGATACATGCCAAATTGGATAAAGTACCCGAGGCTAATTAGGATCGGTTACAAATTTCAGGGAATTTCAAGACATGGTTACGGGACTGGTTATGGGACCGTGACGGGTTGTCTATAGGCCCGATTTTTCATTTTTTTTAAGTTTTAATAAGTTATAACCCAAGTTTTTCAAGTTCTTTTAAGTTTTTCAAGATTTTATCTACTTAAATGCATTATTTAAAGTGTATTTTAATGCTAAATTTCAAAAATTATAATTATATATATAATTATATTTGGTCTTACGGGTCTCACAAAAAACCATTGGTGTCACATGATTCCAAGTCTATATATATATACTTTTTTTAAAAACCAGGCCAGACCCGATACCGGTAACCGAGCCTAAATTGGTCCTATGATTTTCGGTGAGGACCAACATTGGCCAACCCAATTTTAAAGGTATCAATTTGGGTCCGATCCGACTCACCATGTGGTCACATTTAAAATTGGAACTTTGGAAGGGTTAGTAAGTTGGGCTTGCAATATATGGGCCTTAAGTAAATTGTTCGGTTAAGTTTTAGATCATTTGGATTGGGCTTAATACGTGTTTGCTTATAGAAGACTAGAGTGACTACTGACTACTATGATACTATCTACTTATCTAGAAGTTTCAACACTATTTATCCTTATCCGCGCTTACCGTTAAAATCAACACTATCATTTACTTATCGGATAAGATTTTAGTCAACAAAAACGACATCGTATGCAACAATTTACCCGATAAACGCTAACCATGGTAAGAGATCCTCACTAACCGGGTAAGATTCTTGGTCCTTGCCATATTCATCCGACAAGGTAACGTGAGTTGGTAAGCGTTTATCCGAGTAAAGTGTTTGGTAAACGACCCTTTTAGACATGTTATTTAATTAATCTAATCAAAATATTTTGATCGTATTCTATAAAATCCTAAAATTAACAATCAAGAAAACCTTTAATTGTTTTAATAGAACTCGAACCGATTTTATTTCTCTTATATTTTACTATCTTCGTTTTATTTCTATTTTAAAATATGATTAAAAGAAATTGGTCTTTTTTTATTAATAAATATGCAAAAAATGATGATTGTGAAAATATTGAACTTTTTCAAACAACGAAATATCTAAAAGTAATTCGGTATGAATTTTTTTTTCAAACAAAATCATTATTTATGCTCATA